ACAGCGAATTTATTCGCTGATAATCGTTTCCCTTTCAGTTGCCATTGAGTGAAGGTGAATGCTCAAAGCTCAAATACTCAAATAGAAGAAATGAGAGACCGAAGAATCATCCGCAGAATCGTTTAATTATTGATTTATTATATGCATTTAAAGTGTTGCATCTTTATCAGTTTTCTTAATTTTTTTAGCTCCCTAAACATCTAAATTTCTCCATGAGGCAGAATGACATTAGTTGCTACCAAGCTAGAATAGGAAAATACCTCTTCAAGTAGAGCGAGATAAGTTTTTCCTTTTCTTTGAATATTTTTCATTTCTCATCTTGAAGGAGAAGAACCTCATGGCTTTTAACTTAGGCAACCAAGTACAGGAAGAACAGTTAGAACTCTAGGTATTTGCAGGAAATCTCTTGCGATACGTCGTACACGAGGACTTTATTTTCGTTCTGCTGTCACGTTAATTATCACCATCACAATTGAGAGGGGTGACGTTGCACTTGAAGGAACGAGAGGATCCCCAACTCGATTTGCTCGGTTCTAACACTAGTTTTGCTTCTGGGTCGAAACATGAAATGGTGAAAGACTTCGGAAAAGTTATTGGATCTGAGACTCACGAGTCACCCTGCAAACTAAACTTGACTGAAAATTCTGCTGAAATGATGTGCATACTCCTCTCCGAGTCGCGAACTAGAGGAAGAGCCACGAGATCCATGAAGAGTGATGTAAAACCTGCCGACACCGTCTTCATGGTCGTCTGAGATCTGGTGATCCGCCACGACCACCGTCACCATGTGGGTCACCCCTATTCAGCATCGCCGTCGTCAGTCCATCAGCATTTGGGCGAATAAAGGAATCGAGCCAGTAGGAAAAGAGATTGGGTTTTCATACGGCAGTATGGATGACGACGGCCGGTGAGGAGGTAGAATTTCCGGGATTCCCCTTGGTAGAAATCTGGTTTCCAGGCTTCTTTGGCATGATATCCCATTCTTCCACACTTCTCTCCCCTTTGGCCACAACTCCCACAGCCTCCTCGCCTGAATTCGTCAGAGCAAATCAAATCCGTATTACTGTATGTGTGAAATTCCACGTCGGCTGCAGGTAATTAGAAGGGCCTTGCACGGGATTTCCATTTTCCATGATGATGAGAGGAAAATGAAATGAGGAATACTCGAGATAGAAGACTTACGTGTACTCGGCATAATTGGAACACTCAAAAGCGAGGAAAGGGCAAGGAGAATTGATGGATTCGATGAAGTAGTCGATGCCCCTCATGTGGTTGCAACCCACAAATAGTCTCATACCTAGAAAAGCAAGGATTAGCATGTGAACACCCAGTCCCTTACATATATTAAGTTTACCTGGCTCTCTTGCACTAAATGGAATGCAAAACAAACTCTCAACTCATTGCTCTCCGAAAAGAAAGCACACGTGTCTCCAAATCTGAATGACCGAACGAACGCTGGCACGAAAAGAGTGACTGACTCGTGACGCATGTGATTCGTACCATCGACGACAGAACCGTTCTCCATTTCGAGAGCTTCCTCAAATGTGAGTTTGCATCCTGGCATGTGGGTCCCCGAATTGGGATAGAAGTCCACGTGACCCAACGGCTG